AAAAATTACGCGAAATCGATCTCTCTCGTCCCTCCTGCTGCTGCGGTAGCGATCCGAATGACGATCGTGACGTCGGTCTTCATCGCGTCGGGGACGCGGCGAACGTGAGCGATGACGATGCCTGAAATTCAAAAGAAAAAAGTAAATACGCTGAAAATAACTAAATTCTTTGGTTTAGCTGCACGCCATACTTCACGTCAGTGTACAGATATAAAAATACTAAATTAGCCGAAATTACCACAGCAAAAGGCCTTCGACCACAAAAAAAAATTCTCCTCTACAGTTCATTATGACTTGACAAGTAACTGAATTTTCCTCAGCTCACCCCTCCTCCCCCTTCCCCTACTCCCTTTCTTGAAAACATTTGCAGTGGTTTCCTGCACTCAGAGCAATTTCGCCAGTGATTCGCCGTCTTTTTTCTACGGACGGACTGGTAACAGTAGTGGGGATTTCATAATTTCCATTTTTATTTTTTATAATTTTCCTCCCACTCACAAAAAATAATGTGCTGACGAGACGCAAGAAAACGCCACAGCAAGCCGTTCATAGTTCCGTGAAAACGGATGATTAAATATTCAAGGAAACATTATCAATAATTTGCGATCAAAAAAAAGATGAATGGATTTTCTACTGTTTTTGCAAGATTCTTTGTCCATTCAGCTGTTTTTTCGATTTTCCTATATCGCTCGCCACAAATGGCAAGCCATGGTGGATAAGCAGTGTAAGAAAGTGCTTATTTTACTCACTGCCAAATAAATTTACAGCTTTTAAATAAAAATGAATTTTTTTGAACAGAATTTAGAGCACACACCCGCGGTCTCTGTCATCGCGTTTTCGGTCTCGATCCCGATCCCGGTCACGTTCCCGATCTCGGTCCCTATCTCTTTCTCGTTCTCTTTCCCGATCCCTCTCGTCTCGTCGGTCCCTTTCGTCTCTCTCTTTCTTTTCACGATCTTTCCTTTCCTTCTCTTCACGCTCTTTTTCCAGTGCCTTTAACAAATAAGGATGATATCGACGGCACACGTAACGATGCTATCACAGATGAGACTTTCCGCGCTTCGAACGGACTTATTCAGAAATATGAGAAGGTGCGACTTTTCAAAAAATTGGAGAAGAGCAAACCTTGCGTCTCTCTTCACGTTTTCGATCCATCTCCTCAATGGTGGCGCGGATTCTTGCATAGGCCATATGCTGCTTGCCGGCGTAATGATCATCAATCCGCTGTTGTACATCATTTACAAGCATAAAACAACCACAAACCTTCAATTCATTCTTATATTTCATACATTTGAAAAATCGCTTTGGACAAGAGCTGTGTCGATGTGTCAATGCACTAAGATGAGATGACAACCGATCAAAATACCGGTTTTTCT